GCAATTGGTAGTCCGTTTCCCATGGGGCCGCTTGTCGTAATACTTGCCATATATCGATACCACACACGTACCTCCCACCAAGACGCGGGAAGATACATGCCAAATTTGTGTCTCTCCCGACGTGCCTAGTTAACTTCTCCCGCACTACTCCCCCCCCGACTAACTCCGCCTCTACTAACTTATCTCCAATTTAGACCTTGGAATCCGGGTCGCCCACCTCAAGAACCCCAGATTCGAGCATTTCTTTGGTTTTTTTCGCCCACAATCACGTATCTAAAGCTCATCTCCTCTTCCCCTCTCCCTCCGTCCGCCATAGCCGCGCACTAATTTTTCCTACTAACTTGCTTTCCTCAAGTTTTTCCCCCGATTTGACTATACGATCGAACTCGCCCCGGCCGGAAACCCCGGGTAGGCTCCTTCTTCGCCCACTTTCATCAAAAAAGCGGGTGGGGTATGCCCCTCCTCCTCCATGATCCCTCCCCCGTTGCTCCTGCCATGTTCGATCCTTCCTACCGCGCACGCACCTGGCACGTTTCCGTGCCCGAGTTCGCCCCTTCTCTCTACCAGCCCGTCACTCCTGTCTCTCTGTTCGCCACAGCCCCCGACTTCCATCTGCACCCGGGTTTGCCATCGCCCAATCCGCCTGCGTGCACCTGGGCTGATTCATCGCCCAGGTTCAGTTTCTCTCCTCTAGTCCCCCCTCGCTGTCTTCGCCCTGCCTTCGGCCCGTTCCGTCGTCCCGTTCGTCCCTCTTCTTCCGTCCACGCTGCTCTTCACTATCCCACCTTCACCTATGCGCTCGGCACCTAACGCACGCTAGAGCCGGCCCGACCAACGCCCTCGGCCGATTAGACTGACGAGGTCAACAGCCGGAAAAGAGACCCCGCCGCCCGATTTATATGCATCGGCCTTGCACTAGGGCCATGCGAGTCTTCTCTGCACCGCTCCACCCGAAGGACTTCGGGCCAGCTAGCGCCCCTTTGCTATCGCAACAGACGACCGCCGGGCGAATCCCGCCGTGGGAGGACCCGATCAGTCCTACGCTCCCCTGTTGCCTGTCCGTACCCGGCGCGACCCGCGTCCGGGTTCCTCCCCGATCCTCTGCACGCCTTTCCCTCGCACATCGGCTAGGCAAACCCCCTTTCCTCCTTCCGGCCGCCCCTAACCCGATCCGCGTCCGGGTCCATTCCCGGACCTCTTTCATACGTCACCCCCACGTGGGGGCCATGCAACCTTCCCTACGTCGTTCTAGTTTTAGCGAATGTCCCGAAGGACTCGCACCGCGCGACGCTCCTCGGCGTGGCTAACAGTTTCATGGTCCTCTCCCCCTTAGCCTGTTTCCCGCCCGGGTTCACTCCCGGACCTCCCTCTTATTGGCTTCGCGGATCTCCCCTATCTCGCTTAGCTCTCTCTACAGGAACCCGGCCCCCCTTCCGAATTTTATGCATATGAACCTTGCACAGGGGCCAGGTAAATCCGTCTCTATATCGTTCCTAGATTCTCCCCCTTCCCAGTTGCCGCGTCAGCAAAGTCGGTCAGCCCTCCAAACTCAGGCTTTCTAACTTTTGTCCCTCGGCCCCACCATCCGACTTGAGCGTACGCTTCGACAGCGTATGGGCATACCCAACAACTTGGGTTGCTGGCCCTAGGTGTTGTTATCAACCCCCTTAACGGCTCTAAACTAATACAAAAAAAAAATTAAGATGGCCCCCAACTATAACGAAGGGGGGTCACCTGAGAAGGGAAAACGAGTTGCGGACCCTGTCAATGCTCTCATAGCCCTGCGTCGAAGGTCCCCGGTCAGACCCTCCCAGCAACCCAAAAGGGGGATAGTCCCGCGGGACCCTCGACCCCTCTACTTCTTGCTGCTCCGTTGCTCCCACGCCATCGTCCGCCAGCCTCGAACCCCGTACCTCCGTAGCAACAATCCAACACCGTAACCAATAGGGCTAAGCCCAAGCCTGGGATGTGCAGGCGCGGCCTCCCACATAAAGAGGTGTCGCGCAACGCTCTAGGCGAAGATACCCCTCAGCCACTCTTTCAGGCCACCTTTATACCCACGGCCCCTAGGTACCCGTGCCGTCTTGCCATCCCATGGCATGGCCGCCCCGCCCGCCGGCCTGCGCGCCATCGCCGGTCGCGTGTGTCAATCAGAAACGAGCTTTGACCCCCTAACTAAACCCGTCACACAATCTGGGTCGGTCGGCTACCCCAGCCGCCCACTCAATCAGAAAAATCACACGCGCGCCTTAAAATTGTGCGTCCACACACCCTTCCTACTGGGACAACCTCAGCCTACGCACGGATTGTTACCGCGCTTCCGCGCAGGTACCCACAAATCCAAGTTAACCAGACCCTCCTGTCACTTGCAAAAACCAGGGCGGATACCCTTGTAAGGGTATTCGCGCCGACAGCTTACCAGACCACATTAAGCGACGTCCCCGTCGCTCCGCCAAATCAAAAAGCTATAAATCCATTTACACTCCAAATGCTGATGAGGTTAGAACCAATCTGATTAGCTGACAGACTTGGGGTTGAGGCCTCCATCAAACCGTGCCAACATAACTATATGCTGCCAGGGTTTCAACCTGGGTCCCCATTGTCATGACACCAGGACGCTGGTGTATTACGCATCAATACTACAACATAAGTTCCAAAGGCCCTCAGATCATCCTCTTCCCTTTCGTCCTAGACAACTGTCGGCCTCTCGTTGGGTATCTCAGTTAGCCTCTTTCTCACAAGCAGAGCCATAACTAGGGACGCGGGCATTAGATGAGACCTACGAAGGCATTCTCGCCTTCTCCCAGCAAATTCCTCACAATCAAACGAAATACACGCGCATAGGCTTATAGCCTCTCTCGGCTTTTTTCTGCAGCCTAGTACAGAAACGCCAGGTCTCCATCTGGGCCCACTATGGCCTGGGTGATCGGGCCAGGTCTACGGCCCACCGCATTGTTATCTTAGCGGCGGTACCCTCCCGCTGGTTATACAACGACAGGTATGTCCCTGATAATCAATCAATCAGGGCTTCCAAAATACTCGACTCTTATCCCGCGAAGTAATTTCCCTGGGATGGGCAACTCCCCTTAAACTCTTACCTCGCGGGCCCTTAGCCAGGTTGTGCTGGCTAGCAGCCATCCATTAGGGGTTGCGCCCAGGTGGCACTAAACTTTACCGTTAGCTTGGTATTCCTTTAAATATGTCTCAGAATTAGCACAGGCGGCCAGGCGGGGCATCACAAACAATTCACAGGCCGCTGCAGGACTACGCAGGGGTCTGAAGGCATTTACCGGCCCTCCTATAATAGGCACGACACCCTTCGCTTAATCATAAACAGTCTCCCCGTCGGATCCACAAGGCCGCGGCTCCTGACTTGATCAGAGTCAGCAGTCGCCCATCCTGAGGCATCTCTCGCCCATTTCAAATATTTCAAGCAAACATGATTCCCTCTTGTCAGGCTTTATCAACACAAACAATGCTTTCCATACCATTTAATTTTTACCCACCCTTTCTTAGTAAAGGGTGCCTCTCACAAAAGATCTCGCAGTCACCCCCTCTTTATTTGGGATGAATTTTCGCGCGGCCTCTTCCAAAACCATGAAGGGGCCCCAACAATAACACAATTCCCACCCTCCAGAACCATGAAGGGGATCTTAGTGACAACACAAGTACCACCCTCCAGAACCAGGAAGGGGGTCTTAATCACCAAACAACTCAAAATGAGGGACCATCTTCTGGGTCCTTGTACAACTTAGACAACAATGTTTGGTGTGGCAAGCAATCCAACTTCTGGATTCCTCAATCCCGTAGGATCCTCACAATCTTTCACAAACAGGCTGCACTCCCCCTCTTTATACTCTGCCCTCTCGTCCGCTCGCAAGCAGGCTGCACGAGTATACCGGAGGGTAGACAACTTTACAGTTTACACAATCGTGCCCATGAGATGTATCTTGTACACCTCGCACACAAAGCCAATCATACATCAGGATAAAGCCACACATGTGAGAGTGATAGTGATCGTCACAAGACAAGTCCCATAGGATCTCAACTTATGGTACACTCAGGGAGTAGAATGTCTCCCTCAAGACTCAAACACAAACACTCAACTCAAACTCTGTCCATATGAGCATGGCTCGCGCCCCCACTGTACACTCGCGGAATACACTCGGGGACACAACATCTACCTAGAATCTAATGGGTGTCTAACCCCCTGTCTCATCCTACTAAGGAAAACTCATACCCAAGTCTCTCTCAAAATTCAAATCGTCTCCGCACCGCAAAACCAAAAATGGACTGAATAGTCTCATGTGTCCTACGGCCGACCCCCATGTCCTAAGCCGTAGCCCATGAAAGAAAAGCTCAAGGAAAACACGATCAACTATGTATGCATAAGCAGGCAGGGACTCATCCTACCACCCCTAAAGTATGCGCACATCTAGGGCCCCCTCAGCCAGCTCAGCCTATGTACACCTCCAACCTGTCCCCTATGTGCAAAATACTCTGGCCCTACTGACACATAGACAGACCAGCCCCTACTCACACAACTCCTCCTGGTTCTGCCTGTATAATTGGGTCCTGCCCCCATCTGGAGCTCGCTCCACTATCCTGCCCTGTCTGTCATAGAACTTGCCGTCGACCTCTGCAACCCGCCCCTTGGCCTTATCCCCGAGGAGCTCTGGGCAGTCCACGACTCTATGCCCTTCCTTCTTGCACCAAAAGCAGGAGGTGTTGTGCCATCGGGCAGTTTTCTTCTTTCTCCTCCGGGAACTCGATGCTGAAGGCGTCCCTATGGTCTCGGTGGTCACCTCATGACACAATGGTACCCCCATATGGTTCCGAGGTTCAGACTCCATAGCCTCAGCATCCTCACCCCCTCGCACGGCAGTACTCACTGGCACATGGTGCGTGTCGAACTCTTGGGATCCCTCCTCATGAGGCCTCTCCGTCGCAACCACATCCCCACATGATCCTGACGGCTGAGAGCCCGCCACGGCGGCTGGCTCACTCATGACCTCCTGTTGCTGCTGACGCCCTGAGTCAGGTCCTCCTGAGTTCGTCCCTGTGGCCTAGGAGCCCAACTCCGTCCTCAACTCTCCCAGCCTTGGGGCGTAGTCTGGAGTGTCAAGCCTCTGACGCCTCTCCTGCGGTGTACCTGTCCCCATGGTTGCCGCCAGCTCATGCAAACGCGAGCCTCTGCTCTCCGTGGACATAGCCATAAGCGACTCCTGGGCGCCACCCTCCTCCTCGACTGAATCCAGAGGCACCTCCCCCATTGGCCCGGCCTGTGGAGGGGCCTCAACCGCTGCTCCCCGACTCGGCGAAGCCTGTATCCCTCGGCCCTGGCCATCGGCACCGGCTCGTCCCGTCTGGCTAGCCTCCCAGGCTGCCGAAAGCCTGTCCACGATGGCTGCCATCTCCCCAAATCTCCTCTCCCACTCAACTTCTCTGGCCTGGCTCCTCGCCCTTTCCTCGGCAAGCTGAGTAGTCAGGTGCTCCACCCCCCACTTTCCGGCCGCGAGCTCATCGCTGAGTAGGCTATACCGCTAGAAAGACGTAACCGCCACCTCACGTATCCTCTTATCTACACACTCGATTGCCATCTTTGTAGCAGAGAACCCCAAATCCCCCATCCCCCGCAGCTCATCCACCCTCTCGTCCACCTATCCTGCCTCTCGCGATCTTTGGCGGGCTGCATCCCTCTGGCTTTCGTATTTGGCCAACTCGTCGATCCTCTGCTCGCTCGTCTTGGGCTCGACCGGCGGCATCGGCTCTATCCCTGCCGCCTCCATCTCAGCCTGCCTCGCGTGTATCTCGGCCAAGCGGACTCGTACCCTGGCGGTCTTCTCTTCGCGAGTTTCCTTTGAGGCCCTTTCCACTCGCGGCTCACGACCTTCTGGAGTTGATGCCATGGTACCTATCCCCTCGCCAGTACGCGGCAATGCCGGCGGTAGTCCCCCTGGTGCAGGTCCTCTGGTAACTGAGCTCTCGATCGCATGCGTGGCCGATGGCAAGTCAGGGAGTACTTCCACCCTTGCTCCCTCACACGCTCCCTGATCCTCCATCTCCGCCTCCTGCTCAGGTGTAGCAGCGGCCTCAGGGGAAAGCTCTGGGACCTCCTCACAATCTGGCTCAGGAACCCCCTCTGGCCAGGACTGTTCCGCTGGCTCTGGGACTGGGGTGCATGGAGGGGTATCGTCTCCGACCGTGATCACCTCCTGAACCTGAGGTTATACCGGGTCCGGCCGCTCGGCTTCCATCTCAGGATCATGCGGCCCCCCTCGGTCTCGCATGTCCGTCTCCGTCCCGAGGTCCAGAGGCTCCTCTAATGGTACATAGCGCGCCGGCTCAGTTGAGCCCTCCCCCAACCGTGAGGCCTCCCATCGAGATACGTCAAGGTGAGTCGCTAAGCTCCGGAATGGCGTCTCCCATGGTATGTCCGGCTCATGCCCTGATGGCGACAGTGAAGGCGGCCTCAGCTCCTCACTCGTAATCCGCCGAAACTCAACTGCCCGGAGACCACAAGCAGGGAACGACTCCCCTTCCGGTGTGATGGGGCCCTCCTCCTCTCTCTGGCCAGCCCCGCCTCTCTCGGCGCCGGTTCCCTTGGCCTCTTGCTTCGCCTTCACCTCTCGACCCTGGGTTCGGGCCTCTCACGCTCAAGCCGTCCAAACACCCTCCTGAGCTGAGCCTGGCAGTCCTCCCAGTCTCGCGCCCTCTCTTGGACCTGTCTGGCTACTGGCCTCTCTGCCCCCCTAGTCCAGATAAGTAGGGCCTGCATCCACTCCTCCTTCGCTATCCCCTGACTCAGCATATAATGCTCGTATGCGGGAATAAACTCCTTCGCGTTCCCCTCCTCCAATCGAATGGGCATGCCATCACGTCCTCTAGGGGAAACTCTCAACCTCTGCATCCCGGCCTCCACATCTGGCCAAGTCAGGGCCTCCTCACATATCTGAGCGACAGGCTCCTCGAACCGCCCTATCCCCCTCAAATGGTGGATCCGCTCTACCACTGACCATCCTCTCTGGGCCGCATGATCCCGACACACATCCAGGAAAAGCTCAATGTTGTCGTCATCGAACTCTGGCATAGGCTCTCTCCTAGGCGGCCCGTGCTGCTCGCCTTTCCCAGATGCCCTCTGTGACCCCTGCCGCGACCGCGCGTCCCTCCCGCCCCTCTGCATGGCTGCCTTCGAAAAGTCAGACCTGCACAACAGGCGAAAGACAACAAACAGGCACATGGCAGGGTCAGCAACTGAGCTTATTGGCCTAGGAAGGTCCCATACACATCCTCCACCCATCCATCCTAATCCCGCCTCCCAATCATCCAGCATGTGTGATACCTGGGCAGGGTTTTACCCCTAAAAAGATCTAGTGGTCCCTTACCTATTCCCTGGCCACAAACTTTTTCAGCCTCGTCCCTGATACCCAGTCCCGCCACCCCGCCCCATCCAACTCTTCGATCTGATAGGCCCCAAACTCGCCACATCGCACGATCCTATAAGGTCCCAACCATCGTTTATCAAGCTTTTTGGACCATTGTTTTTCCAGCGAGGAGTCATACAACAACACTGCATTTCCAACTTTCAACGGATCCTTTCTTACACGGGTCATCTGGTCACATCTCATCTTGTCTTCCATGCGCCTCCTCTCTACCTGACCAGCGGCCTCCCGCAACCGTTCTTCAACAACTCCCACTTGTTGTGCCCGAATATCGAGCAGCTCTTCAAAAGACAGGTTCACTTCTAGGTCCTGGCGCCTCCACGTCTTCATGAAACTCTCTATGGGAAAGGTGGCATGCCTTCTGTACTATAGTGTGGCTGGCGCATACTTGGTAGTCATTTTTATTGTAACGTTCTCCACGAAGAAAGCCGCTCGCAAGAACTTCGGCCACTGAGCCGGCCTACCCTCCGTCCACTTAGCCAAGAGGTTTGTGATGGTACTGTGCCTCCTCTCCACATGTGCATTCCCTTGCGGGTGCGTGGCCGTAGTGTAGTTAGCCATTACGCCATACCCAGCAAGCAAGGTTCGCACCTCATTGCAGGTGAATTCCGAACCTCGGTCCATCACGAACTCTTTGACAAAGGGATAACGCAGGTAGTACTCCTCGATGCAATTTGCCAAAACCGGGACGGTCTTCATCCGAATAGCCCGACCGTCCACAAACCCAGTAAGGTTATCTCGTGCATCGAAGATGTAATTACACCCATTCTCGCCAGCTGGCATGAACAACAGGTTCAGGTGCACGACCGCACCCACTTCCCTCTCCAACCTTGGGTGCAGGGGTTCCCCTGACCTTTGCGCTGACCCCTCTTGGCAAGGTACACAGGACTGACAGTATTTGATGACCATAGTCAACATCCCGTCCCAATGGTACAATTCGCTTATCTTTGCGCACATGGCACTAATCCCTCTTTGCCCCCCTGCTATACCGTCATGTAGGGCTGCTATGACATCGATCTGCCGGTTCCTCCCACATACAATCCTCTTGGGGTTTCCGACCTGCCGCTTTATAAACAGATGGTCGTCTCTTACTACGTAGAGATGACTCATCTTGTGGGCTTTAGCACTCGCGTCCCTATCCCTTATCTCGCATGACAGGAATAATCCCAACTCTCGATAGATCCCGTCATACTCTTCTGTGCGAAAGGCCTCCCTGATCTCTCCCTCCTCGAACTCATCGTCCTGGCTTTCAGGAACAAGAATTTCACTTTCCTCAGGATCAAATGAGTTCCTCTGGTTAAAGTTCCCCTCAGGAGTGTATTAGTGAGCAAATACATCCCTCCCATTAATTGCTCATGCTCCTCCACCTGAGTTGGGCCCTCCTCTATCGTCCTTACTTCTTCCGCCAGACTATGTGTACCCGCCAATGCCAACTTCATCATCCAGCCAACATCCTTACTCCCCCACGGATCTTCCTCCTGGAAGGGCTTGAGGACCAATTCCTCCTTTCGTTCGTATCCCCTTAGCGCTAGCCATATGGGGTGTGTGACGCAGCTAGGCACCCTCAACGACCATTCGTTTATGTGGAGGCGAACGTCCTCCTCTTGATCCAAGAACCCGTCGACTGGTGGGGTGTCCTCAACTGACTCCTGATCCACCCCTTCCCAGTTGATACGGCTCAGCCCATCTGCCTTGTTCTTGTCCTCTGGAATTCTCCCCAGCTCAAAGTTAAACATCCAAATGTAGGGTAGCCATCTCGCGATGGTTGGGTCAGATGAAGTATAACTCTTCAGAGAACAAACAAGCGCAGTAGGGTCCACCCTCAAAATAAGCCTCCTGCCAAAAATATAGTTCCGGAAGGTCCTTAGGCAATGGAGTACTGCCAACGTCTCCTTCTTAAACTGAGAGTAATTCCTCTCAGTTGTATTGAGGGTACGACTTTCAAACTTTAACGGCCTCTCCTTCCCCTCAACATCTGCCTGAATCAGGACCCCTCCCAAGGCAGTTGGCCCAGCGTCCGTCTCGACAATGAATGGTTTTTCCTCCGTGGCCTCATAGTTTGGCGCTCCCAACACCAAACCTCCTTCCTTAAACTCTGCCTTCATCCTGTCCATGGCCTTCTCCTGGTCTTCATCCCAAACCCACTCCTGGTCTTCATCCCAAACCCACTCCTGGTCCTGGCGCACCAACTTTCTCAAATGCTCCATCTTGGCGGCAAAGTCCTTCACGAAGCTCCTCCAAAAGCCACCGGTCCCAAGGAAACTCCTTACGTCTGTTATTGAGTGGAATGGCGCTGGCCACTCAAGAATTTTGTCCGTCTTCTTTACGTTTGGCCTTTGCCCCTTCTCATTACAGACAAAACCCAGAATTGTGGCCTCCCTCATGCAGTTCTTCGACTTGGGACCACTTGCCGTCAGGTTGTGCTCTTCTAGCAGACTCAGAATCTGGTCAATGTCTTGGACATGCTTCCAAACGAATCGCCTCAACCCAGGCATCGCTTCATCTTCCTCCTTCTCCTTTGGACCCTTAACCGCCAGATCGTCAATGTAGGGCTAGATGATATGTGGACTAACTGTCTGCATGACCTTAATCATGTGCCTTTGCACCATCGCCACCGAATTAGTCCACCCCTAAGGGGCTACATTCATGTGGATCAGCCCCCTTGGCGTATGCATTGTCGTCACCGGCCTATCTGGCGGATATATAGGAAACTGGTCGTACCCAGAATAAAGGTCTATAAGTGAGATTATAGGCCTCCCTGCGCATGACTCTGACAGGGCGTCCGCGTTTGGCAATCCTCCCGCGTCCCATACTGTCACCGCATTCAATCGTTGCAGGTCTTGCACCCATCGTAGCATCCCGTTTGGCTTAATGAAGCAAAACCAAGGGGAGGCATACGGCCCACTGGAGTAGTCGGCCACGTGCGTCCGCATCTTGCCGTCCAGGTAATCCACCACCTTCTTTTCCTCATCCGGATTCGGATATCGCGTGCCCCTCAAATTCCACGGCTCGTGTGGGACGGTATGGACTCGTATCATTGGGATCTTATCTACGTCTAGCCTTCCACGCTCGTCGTCATTAAACGCATATGCGCAATGCCTTCTCTTCATGGTCTCCACCACCAAGGTCCTCTCCTGAGGTGAAAGGAAGCCAGGTTCGTCAATTATCAGCCTCTCTTCACTCTCATCATTGATACGGCACGGCCCTGCCTGCGCATGCTCCCACACACGTCTTATCAGCCCTCGCTCCCGCTCATAATAGGCTTCCTCATCCTCCGTGACAAACACGGGGACCGGGCGACACTTCTTATCTATAGTCTTGTACCGCCTTTGGGAGCCCTGCTTAAGCCCTCCCCTAAAAAAGGCCGACTTGTCGTTCGGGCCTGGGCCATCGCAGAGTCTCCCCTCCTTCCTGGAAGCCGATATATCAGCTCCACCTCTCCCATCTGAGGGTTTTCCAGGACCTGCTCTGTCAACGCCTTTGTGGCCTCGGGGTCCGCCATATCATGTGTCGCCACTACGTCCATCGCCTTATTTACATCGTTAAGGCTCAAAGACAATACCCCGGCCGCCCCTTCCTCCTCTTGTTCCTCCCGGAGCCTTCGTCGCGCGTACTCAGACTCCTCGAAGGTAAAGGAGGTGAGGTTGAGCCTGTTCCTCCCACTTTCGGGTCCTGTGTTCCGGCACTTGATGATCTCGTAGTTCCCACAGGCTGGATCGGATAGGGTCAGGATCATCGTCCCCTCATGCCTGTTGAAGACCAAAGTCTCCGTTCGGCGGAGGAACGACCTCCCCAGAAGGATAGGGTGATCGACATCGGGCATGACGAAGAAGCACGTTCGTGCCCTTACCCTCCCAATTCCCACCATCACGTTAGACGCGGTGCTGCAGAAAATTGCCTTACAATTGGCGTCATGCAACACACCATGATCTGAGTCGACAACTTCCAGCCCTAGCATGGTCGCATCTCGCTCCCGAATAATGTTCATCTCAGCGCCCGTGTCCACCATTGCGATGCTCGGCTGGTCCCTCACCTTCAGATCCACCAACCCACACGCCACACATTTTCAATCCATCCTGGTGCCCGCCTCTGTCCATTTTATCTCCCTGGGCAAAATCGTGCTCAGGTGGACGTTGGGCACTAACCTTCGTGAGAGCCTCCCTTTCAGCTCACCACGGAGCCTTGGTGCCGACGCCAAGATGTCTTTCATATTCATCAGATCATTGTGACCCTCCAGGAGCTTGTCCACCATTCGCTCCACGTCAAAGCCCCCCTCCAGCCGGACTGCGTACTTCTTCCTTTTTGGCACGCCGTCGTGCAGGCCCGTCTCCGCCTCTCCCTGAATTCCTCTCTTCTTGGCCCTCTGCTCGGCTCGCCGGTCCTCCTCCTGCCGGAGCCTCTCATCCTCTTTGTCATCAACTTCCTCTTCCTCCTCCTGGACCTCCACCACTTCCTTTCTGCATCCAGTCTCAGGTTCCCTGCGAGGAGGGGCTCGGCCAGGTGCCTGGCTGGACCCTTGACTAGCGGTAGCCTTACTTTGGCCCCTAGTCTGCGCGGTCTGTGGCACCCTTCCATGCGACGTAGGTGGCCTGAAGGTCATCCCTGACCTAGGACCTGCCCCGACTGTCGCCACGCCTGGACACCCTTGCGGTCCTGATGACGACTACGGGCCGGACCCATAGAGCATCACTTCAGGGAGGCTCATTTCCCACTCCCGGGCCTCATCGCACATCACCCTCAATCGTTCCTGGTACCTGCCGACCTTTGCAAGCAGGTCCTCCATCCTTTCCAGGATGGTCGAAGTGGACTCTCTCACCACTTCCAACCCCTCGTCGTCCGACTCAACGACTATAGGCTCTTCCTTTATAGTCCCTGCCTTTAGTCGTTAAGTCACCTCCTCACTCTCATCCACAATCTCTTCAATCCTCACACCCGGATCCTCTCTTTCTTGCCATATTCTGAACATTGCTGGGGCGGCTCGTGGCCATGCCGCCGCTCGCCTAAGGGTCTCTTGCCTGATCCCCCCCAGGATCTTGGGATCAATGTGCTTCCCCCACCTATCGTATATGTCCCCGTCCATACAAGAGGAGATCAATCATGCCAGCTCGTCGTCCCGCCGTTGTTGGCAGAACCGTATGGTGTGCCCCACCTCGCCACAATGCCAACAAGTTGCATTCCGCCAATCGAAGCGAGGCCTCCCGTACCCTTGGCCATCTTGGTTCTGACCCCCCTGACAATTCCAACCTCCCCCACGGCCTCCTCCACTTCCTCCTCGCCCCCGGCCACCCCCTCCTCGACCCCCTTGGCCCCGACCCCCATTGCCTTGCCCGCCTTGTCCTTGGTTCCCTCCTCCGGCCATGCTAGCCTGCGAGGCCTGTTGGGAGGGCGGCGATTAGGCCACAAACTGGCCTTGAGTCGCTGGGTAGCTCGGGGGAGCCATACTTGCCGATTGGCCCGAATAGGGGACCATGTGTCCCGTGTGGGCTTGACTCCCTCCACATGAGACACAGTGGTTGCAACTGGGCCAGGGCGCGGACTGACAATGCGGCACCCAGTGTCCGCAAGCTGGTGACGGCCCCATGTGCCACGGTCCCGCTGGCGCTGGCGTGGCCGCGGCGACAGGCGGCTGTGCGGCAATGGCTTGGGGAGCCTGCCCCTTCCCTGATCCCTGCCCTCCCAGCAGCAGGTTGCGTTGCTTCTTCTGGGCCTTAGTCAGGGCTTGGAAACCCGTCTCCCCTCCGCCGTAGTCTTCGCGCCCAGCCTCCTCATCTACTGCCCCTGAGGCCCGGCCTTGCGCCACAGTCACCCCTCTTTTCTGTATTTCTGCCTCATTGTCATACCCCAGCGCCGCCAACACGTCCGTGACGATCCTCTTCACCCCTGGGGTCCCGGATGCGGTAGCATCCCTTTCCTTCCTCTTACGCCTCTGCAGCCGCATCTGGTGCTGTTCTACCTGGTCCGAACTCCCCTCTTCCACTCCTTTGTCTATAGTTGTCCAGGTGAGCTTCTCACTCCCTTCCCCATGCTTTGTCAACTCTGCGGCCTCCGAGCCCGTAAGCAACCCCAGAAATGTGGCGCATTGCGCCTCCTCCGAAATCCCGTGCACTTTCCTCGCCTTTTTCTTGAATTCGTGCACGAACGCCCCGATCGTGGAAAAGTCGTCTTTGTTCATGGCTTCCAAGTCCGCCATGGTCAACAACCCATCCCCCAATCTGTACTTCCTTAGCATCATGTCCCTGAACCTTGCCCAACTACCATTTGCTGCATCCACCACCCTACCCACCTCCTGATGGTGGCTATGAAGGACGTATCTCATGATACGTTGGAATCTTACTTCATCTGCCAACGCCACCAGTGCCTGCTCAATCAGGTCTAGCCAATCAGACACCCAATCTCCCTTGAAATGAAACGTATCAACCTTCGGGACATTGCTCGGCGCTCTCTCGCGCTTATCCAAGGCATCGATAAGCTCGTCGAGTGTCACGCACTTTCCCCCGCCGTCCGCCATCTCCTCTGGCATTTTGATCAACCGCCTTCAGCTTCAATCTTCCTGTTATAAGAAACGATAGGACGAAAGGCCCCACTCAGCAGTTCAATCCCTCACGATCCTATCGGGTTGACCCCTTAAACACCCAATGCTCCAGACCTGGCAGACATTTCTTTTCCTATTTCCCTTAGGCTCACCCAGATAAGGCCTATCCTTACCATAGAGTCTCCTCACACACTCGCCTCATCCGCGCCATCAGCCAAGCCGCCAATCAATCAATTATTCATAGCTACAGTCATATAGACCACCGCACAATCCATCTCATAGTCTTCCCCTTATCCACTCATATGCCTAGTTCTCCCCCATTCCCTTACCTGGATGTTGTTCCACCAGGGACAACGGTAGGCTTTCGTTATCCCCGGCAACAACGCCACCTGTCGTGCGCATCAGTCCGGCACCTCGCGTGGCAGTGCGGGACCCTCTCGGCCACGTCACGCAGGAGTTGGACCAACCTCGACACGAACATGCAAATGGAGCTTCCTTAGGCCGCTCCGGCCGAGTGCGCCAGCCATACCTCTCGCGAGCCCCTATGACAGGATAGGGCCTTCGCGAGGCACAACTTACCTCCACCTTACGGGAGTTGTCACCTCCCCTCGGTGGGCGTATCCCTGCCGAGCTACCAGTCCACAATACGAAAGCTAATCAGTTGCAATCGCAGAGGTGGACCAGCCGAGGGCGTTTCTTGTTCGCCGTAGCATAGGGGGTACGCGCGGTAATACACCTATCGGACCCGCACGCGAACCGACATCTTGGGGGGGTTGAGGTCCCAAGCGCGACTCGTCGTCGGTCGACTAGGACGCATCCCACACACCACGAGCACACCACTTTACGAACACAAAAATAAAACACACACACACACATCAAACAACGCAATAACACTCCTAGTCCCTTAGTAGTCATTCCATAACTCTTGGATGCGGAAATCGGATAGGCGTCACACGTGAAACTCGATATAAAACCACACGGACGCAGGGCTATCTCATATCGACTCGCAATGCGAATGTGCGCAAGCAGTCACGATGATGGTGTACTATGTGGTACCCACACTCGCGCGACCCTCGTTAATCTCGAGGGTCCCGTTCGACACTCAAGTGTCGGCTGACACGCGCCTTGAGGGTTAATCTCTCGACGCCAGACATCCGCCATGCGCGGTTGAAGACCACACACCCTCTTTTGCACCTTATGCAAAGCGGGTGGTACACAGGTCCATGTCTGTGGTGGTAGTCGCTCTCTCGCGGCCCCGGGGGTAAGTTCTCCTCGGGCCTTGGCCCTTTGGCGTCCAACCATAAAAACTCTTAAAAAGCAAGCGATATAGGATAGGTCGGCGGTTCCCTTGCCTCGGGGTGGTGCCCGCGACCTATAATAATCCCACGTGTTCGCACATGTGTGCGAGTCCCTAGATCCCATAACCTTTAGATAATAGGGCGGCGAAACGTCGCGCGCAGGATTCTAACATAAAACCGCGTGGCCGCAGGCCAATTCTATACCAACCACCGATGCCAATCGTACGTGGTAATCGCGGCTCCGGCCTGCGCGATATTGAATGGCTGAAGGATTAATATCGCGAGGGGTTACCCCTCACGATATTGAACGGCTGAGGGACATGCCGTTCCGCTCTCGCGACGCTTCCGCCCTCGGGGTGGGGTGTCTCGCTGGGCAAAATAACTAGGCTCTGAGCGGGGGGGGAACTCCTCCCCTACAGAGTCTGGGGCTTGGGATGTCCTGGACAAGGACCTTGAATCTTGGCCCAGGACCGACGTCCGACTAAGAAACCCCCAAGACGCAAATAGGCAGAAGGGAGGGTCTTCCCTGTGCCCCTCAATCTCAACCTTTGAACAGATTTTTAACACGGGCCTCTTAGGACTCTCGAATATTCATCCTAAGCGCACCCACGCACACACTCATAAGGGGGATAGAGTTGTGACGATCACTTCTCACAGGCACAATGAGACTCCTCACAACCATATGTACGTAAATGGGATCGCAGGCAATCCAAATCCAAAATCCGAGCCACAGGACATACCTGCAATCACATCAAGAATTGAACAACAAAACACGCGCTACACAGAGTCAACCCAAACCAATTTCCGCACTCATACCCGTTGCTTTAGCCATGCAAGCCCCAATCTCCTGTCCAACCATCCATAATTAAATACTCAGCACCTTTGTCAAATGGTCATTCAATAAAAGTCCAGGTGAAACCCTCAACAAACAATAAAGTCACTAGGGCTAAAGCCTTTTAGGTTGGATATGGAGAGTGGGTTGGAATAGAGTCGTAGACCGACGAATCGGCAACCGACGTGTTATCAGTGATAACAGAAGATGATCCTCAAGGGATCAAGCTGAATCTAGTACTGATCTTGAATCAGACACCCCAAAGGACCTGTAACACAAGGCAGTTCAAATGCCCAAGCTAAACCATCAGCATATGGGGGATAAACCTCCATAGCACATTCTCACTCAAAGCTACCAACTAACTAAGTTCAAACCTGTCTCTAAGCCAGTGTCCAAAGCAAAGGTAGACTAATGGCAGAATCTACCCTATTCAGGGTGGATTGCCAGAATCGCCACCTGTCAAAATATAATCTAACTCCTCTAATTCAAGAAAATTTCGGCAGCGTTTCCTGTAGGAAAAGTGTCTTTTCAGAATTTATACAAACTCAGATATCAAAAGCATGAGTAATCTATAACTTTGAAAAGTCAGATTTTGTCTAACTCCCTGAATTAGTAGAAATTTGGCCAGCATCCCCTTTGGAATTGGGGATTTCTCAGATTTATACCAGGCCAAATTTGAACTCAGGCCCCAACTTTGAGTTCATCTTAGATAAAATCTGAGTAACTCCTTAGTTTTGCAGAAATTTCGGCAACACTTTCCCTAGAAAAGTGCTTTCCCAAAATTTATACAAAGCTAAGTTTAAAACCTGAAACTAACTTTGACTTCCCAAAGTCCAATTTCGTCTAACTCCCTGAATTAGCAAAAATTTGGGCAGCACTCCCTTTAGAGAAGGAGACTTTTCAGATTTTACTGAGTCAGATATAACGAAAAGACAAGCTGAACTTTGGCAAGTCAAAATTTGTCTAACCCCTTGAATCTGTAAAAATTTCGGCAGCGCTTCCCGTAGAGAAAGTGGCTTACAAAAATTTATACAAGTCCAAGTATAACAATGAGTCTCAGCAATGCAAGAATCGACCTAAGTAAAACAAAGTCAGCCCAGAAAATGCAGAAATGGAGCCAACTTCTATCGCTCTAGCACGTGGCGAGCCTCTAAAGCAACTACCTATCAACCTGAACCCCAGATCAAGTAGTAATCTTACTCAGCCACATGCAGGCCGAACCACAAAGGTAAGTACTCTCACGAACCCCAAGCTTTTTAGCAAACAATAGTTCATGCTCCCTCAGTGAGTTGCCCCTTTATAACCAACTTTCATAAGGCATAGGTCAGGTCACCTAAACTTACAGAGCGCGCCCAATTTAGCCAGGCCCAAAGTCAGAATACCTAAACTTATAGAACGTTCTGATTTGGCCATGTATACACGAACAGAGGGCACAACTATTTCTCTCGTCTTTGGGCATATGACTAGACCATTCTAGTCGCCCTGAACTGCTTAAGCAGCCAAGTTGTATATACCTCTCTCTGAACTTAATCTTCAAAGGGCACATAAGGTTGAGCCGCTCAACTTAGAACACTGCTCAACCTGCCCAAGTTTACCCTCAATTATATCTCTTAGTTATACTCTCTTCCATTATGATAAGCTATAGTCAGGCTATCTAAACTTATAGAGCAGTCTGACTAGCCTGTTCTTAATAACATAATAGTATAATATCACCAATTTATAATCATTGGGTTCCAACATGTGGAGCGCTGAACCTCGCGGTCGTGTCACGCAGGATTTTACCTTTGAAGAATAGCTAGTCACCACTCCGACCGTGCGCGCGTGCTATACCTCTCACGACGCCCTGCGACAGGTCGGGACGTCGCGAGGTACAACTCACCTCTACCCGAGGGGCTGTCACCACCCTCTGGTAGGCGTATCCCTGCTGAGCTACCAGCCCACATGCGAAGGCTTTTACATGCCTTTGTAGAGGTAGGTCGGCCGAGGGCGTTTTCTCGATCGTCATAGCATAGGTATACGAGCGGTTGAACGCCTAAGACTGACCCGTTTATGTATCGGGCATCGGGGTGCTGATCTCTCGGACCGACTTACTATTCAGGTCGACTCGATTGACGATCTCTCGCGCATACTAAATCCTATTCTATCTTAACTTATTCCGTAAATTATATATATATTATATAAGTCCTTTCAAAATAGATACATTCATGACAAATGTAGTTCAAAGGCTGAAACTTAAAAGGCAAGGAGATGTCTTTACATTTTTACACAAACAGAGGCAAACATCAGAATGAACAGAATTTTGACTTTGAAAGAGAAACAATCAATAGACTCTCGGCCTTTCAGCAACATCACAGATAAAAATAGGCTCATGACCTGTCAAATATACATCAAAAATAAAAGATTGGCTCATGGTCTTTCAAAGAAACAGGATATGAATAAGGCTCTCTCGCCTTTGTCAATTGTCCTAATCTATTCAACATTAAAGGGGGTAAAAGTCGAAAAATCCAAACCAAATGTACAAAGGTTACGAGTCGACGAAATGTCTGAGTTGAGGCTCAGGTAAGCATAAGCAAATGCGAGTTGAGTGAATAGCACGTGGTTGGTCGTCTTACTGACGTGCAGACAAAACAAAAACATTTCGCAATCCTAACAGAGTCAACCATTCATTCACATCCACACACATTACACTTGTGCTTCCAAATCTCTCTGCCAGACATTCCCTTTTTGACTCAGTCATTCAAGGACCTCATTTGACCAAACACTGACCCTTCAGACACTGACCCAAATTCAGAAATGCCATTTAGAGCAAGGGTTGATGCAAAGTGTGGGTGTAGAGGGTGAGTGAAGGTTGAGTTGGTAAACCAACCTGTTACCATAAGGCAACAACATGTAGACTTGTATAGACTCATAACAAGTCTCCTTGATTAAAATGACC